AAATAAAGTTCAGTTGTTAAAAAAAAGAAGTTCAATTCCTAAGAAGAAAATTCTGTCTAAAAAAATTCAACCCTCAAGAAAGATTCAGGTCTTAAAAAGGAACCAGACCAACATTCCGGTCACCGGATTTATGCTAAGATATCAGCATCTCGTCTCATATTTAGCACTCTCACCACAATCATGTTTGACGGGCTCCATTCGTCATGTGACACGTCACCCCAGGTAAGAGATGTACACTCACCCAGATGTCACATAGAACATATTTACTGTCCAGACAACATCCAAAGTGTTAATGTCAAACAGCGTGCCGAAAAGAACAAGATAAGGTGGGGAAATTTAAAAGACTTGTCGAAGATCCAAGTCACTGTCACGTCTCCGATCCCCACAGGGATGGGGTAGGGCCACACCATTTACACATCCTTAGAGAGAAACTCTAAACACTTCAGCTACTAGTCCAGTAAAACAATGAAAATTATCTTTTCAAAAGCTTTCAGTCTTTCTCTCAGATGTCCGCCCTCAAAGTTCATAGACATGGATGGGCTGACATTTCAACATAACAACCTGGACCAACTGCTGTTTCAGGCAGCAGCAAACGCAGCCCCTCGCTGTCTGCTACCCTACTAGTACGATCCGGTTCCCCCTGTGATAAATTCTCATTGGATTCACCCACCTTCTGTTTGGCAGTCGGACCTTTCACCTTGCTTGGAGCAGCACGGATGGGAGCACGGATGGAGCACATGCTACAAACATTTGGGTGTAATTTCAATTCAATTAATATCACTAAACAACTATCAAATAAGTAACATTTAGATGTCTTTGTGGTGAGCTTTCCATTAATTCCAAGTCATGTCAAAGGAAATCCTCTTAGTACTCTCAAATTCAAAATAACCAAATTATTTTCACACTTAGCTAACTAGCACAGCCCCAGTTCACCCCACATGCTCAGCTTCTCTGTTGACTTTCAAACATCTTAACTCATGTTATCCTCCGATAGGAAATGGAGAAGAGGCAAAGAAACTCAAAACAAAGGTCCAGAGGGGAAGACGGCCTACAGTGCCTGTTGTGAGGAATTTTACACCACATTGTGTTTGTGTCAATTCAGCTCTTTCTCTGTCCCCTTTTCTCTCTTCATTCAGCAGCCTGGACACACAAAACACACTTACATAAATAAACATTGGCTTGTGTCTTCTTTTAATGCAAATCACCTGTATGGAGCGCACGACTCAACCACTCAATATTAACAATAAAACACACTCTAAGGCTCAGTTTTACATGATCACTGCAGCTCAAACATTTACAACACCTCAAAACACTCAAATTTGCTTTATTTCTTCTCACAGGCGAGATGGCTGTTTCTCAACATCGCACTCAACTGCGTCAGGACCGTGACTGTCTGCACACGCAGTAAGAGGATTTCTTTTTATCTTCACATCTTTTACTCTTAACACAAACACAGAGAGTGCCACAGAGAGATTTCATTTAGCAAAAATATTTACATAATACATGCATTTTTCATCTCAATTAAGTCTACCTTCCAAGCCCTATAAAAACATTACAAACCACCACCTGTAATTTCACAATCACTTCTTCTCAATAAACTCACATCTCCCAAATCTAGGACAATTCTCCTCATCCAAATTTCACTTGGCTTTGCTGTTATTCATTGCAATTAATCATCAAAAACTCTTACCATTTATTAAGAATATCATTTGGGCATCATCAGTCATACCAGTGTCATATGTAACCCTTCTATCCATGTTCATTTTTCACACAAGGATCATGGCTCAATCAGCAGGCCTCAGGCTCTGACCACCTCCTGTCATCTCACCTTGTGCTCAACTGTCTGGACCCTCTGGACCACCGGACAAACACATCACGTAGGTCACATTTTACAAACCTCATATCAATTCATCTGCAATCAATCCCTACATTCACAATGCACTTTTATACTTTTAGATTCACTTTTTGCTGCTACAACGCGTATGTCTATCCAAATTTTACTCTTGCTCTACAACCTTTAAATCCATATGACATTTAAAAGATTAAGGCGATTCATAGTAGCGAGAGAAAGTCGAGTCGACAGGCAGGATATCTCATGTGTGTATGTGCAGCTTCAGTGCAGGGATCGTTACTGTCTCGGGAATTCAGTGTTGTCGAGGTGTTCATGAGAGTACTGGCTGGAGGGGGTGGAGATAGAAAGGATGAAGACGTATTGGGGTTGTGATGAGTTTTTCGTACTTGAATGTAATTTTAAATTGTCATATGGATTTAAAGGTTTGTAGAGCAGAGTAAAATGTGACATACCGTCTGTAGCAGCAAAAAAGTGAATCTTAAAAGTATCAAGTGCAGTGAATGTGATTGATTTGCAGATGAAATTATTTGGTTTGTAAAATGTGACTACGTGATTGTGTTGTCCAGGTGGTCCAGAGGTCCAGACAGTTGAGCAAAGTGACATGACGGAGTGGTCAGAGCTGAGGCCTGTCTGATTGAGCCATGATCTGTGTTGAAAAATGAACATGGATAGAGGGTTACATATGACCAGCTGTATGACTGATGATGCCCAATGATATCTTAATAAACTGGTAGAGTTTTGATGAATAATTGCAATGAATAACAGCAAACCAAGTGAAATTTGGATGAGGGAATTTCCTAGATTTGCGAAGTGTGAGTTTTATTAGAAGAAGTATGTGAAATTAACAGGTGGTGTTTGTATGTTTTTAGTAGGCTTGAAGGTAGATTAATTGAGATGAAAAAATGCATGGTAATTATGTAAAATATTTTGCTAAATGAAATTCTCTGTGGCACTTTGTGTTTGTTGTAAGTAAGGAGTTACAAAGATGTGAAGATAAAAAGAAATCCTCTTTACTGCTGTGCCAGACATCACGGTCCTGACGCAGTTGAGTGCGATGTTGAGAAACAGCCATCTCCGCCTGTGAGAAGAAAATAAAGCAAATTTGAGTGTTTTAGGTGTTGTAAATGTTTGAGCTGCAGTGATCAAGTTAAAAAATGAGCCTTAGAGTGTGTTTTATGTTAAATATTGAAAGTGGTTGAGTCGTTCCATACAGGTGATTTGCATTAAAAGAAGACACAAAGCCATGTTTATTTAGGTAAGTGTGTTATTGTTTGTCCAGGCTGCTGAATGAAGAGAGAAAAAGGGACAGAGAAGAGCTGAGAGTGCACAACAAACACAAAATGTGGTGTAAAATGCCTCACCAAAGCACTGTAAGGCCGTTTCCCCTCTGACCTTTGTTTTGAGTTTTCTTTGCCTTCTTCCTAATTTCCTATGGAGAGGATAACATTGAGTTAAGATGTTGAAAGCAACAAAGAAGAACGCTGAGCATTGTGGGTGAACTGGGCTTGCTAAGTTAAGCTAAGTGTGAATAATTTGTGTATTTGAATTGAGATACTAAGGATTTCCTTTGACATGACTTGGAAGTTAATGGAAGAGCTACACAAAGACATTAAATGTTACTTATTTTGATAGTTGTTTAGTGATATTTAATTGAATTGAAATTACCCAAATGTTTGTAGCATGTGCTCCCATCCGTGCTCCCATCCGTGCTGCCTCCAAGCCAAGGTGAAAGGTCCGACTGCCAAACAGAAGGTGGGTGAATCCAATGAGATTTATACAAGGGGGAACCCGGATCGTACTAAGTAGGGTAGAGAACAGAGGGGTGTTTGGCTGCTGCCTGAAACAGCAGTTGTACAGGTTGTATGTTGAAATGTCAGCCAATCATATGAACTTTGAGGGCGGACACTGAGAGGAAAGACTGAAAACTTTGAAAAGATAATTTCATTGTTTATGGACTAGTAGCTGAAGGTGTTAGAGTCTTTCTCTAAGGATTGTAACATGGATGGCTACCCATCCCTGTGGGGATCCGGAGACTGACAGTGACTGGATTTCGAACAAGTCTTTTAAATTCCCACCTTACTGTTGCTTTCGGCACGCTGTTGACATTACACTTTGGATGTTGTATGGAAGTATTTCTGTGCCATCTGGGTGAGTGTACCTACCTGGGTGAGTGTCACATGACCAATGGAGCGTAACATGATTGGCTGGACGTTGGCTAAATTGAGACAGAGATCGATTGCTTCTCCCTGGTGACCCGGATGTTGAGTCTGGTTCTTTTTAGACTGAATTTTTTGAGGTTGAATTTTTTTAGACAGAATTTTTTTTAGAAATTGAATTTTTTTTTACACTGAATTTATTTCAACATTGAAAAAAATTCAGAGGCAAAAAAATTCAGTGCTAGAAATTTGATGGTTTTTAAAATTCAAAGTCTGACTTTGATACTGAAAAAAATCCATCTTAGAAATTCATATTCAAACTCAGATGGCACAGACATACTTCCATAAAATTGACTGACACTGCTAAGAATCTAACCAATGTCATCAGCCCTTCTGGGCAGTCTTCTAACAGCTTGAGCCATTTGGCTAGATGCTTGTTTTCCAGAGCCTATGAGTCTTCACTTTGGATGTTAGACTTCCAAATTGACTGACTCTCCTAAGAGTCAAATCCACATCCTGAATATCACCAAGGGAGTCTTCGGACAGCTACTGTTAGCATTTAACTTAGTACATTTAATGAAGTACATTACTTAAGTACAAATTTTAGCTACTTCTACTTTGCTTGAATACTTTTTCTACTATACTTATAATTTGCAACAATTCAGAGGCAAGTATTGTAATTTTTACTCCTCTATATTAATTTGACAACTTTATGTACTAGTTACTTTGCAGATATCAGATTAATAACACAAAATATGATCAACAAACAAATAATCATATACTATTATAGGTTCACACAAGAAAACATAAGACTTTATAGATCCTGGGGGAAATTCTCAAGTTAGCAGTGTATTAAGTCACTCGAATTAACTCAATCAACAATAAAGTGTTATTTGCAACTACTACTTTTCATAAATGTCACTGAATGTTGGTACAACTAGTCTTTTACCTGCACAGAGATATAGATCGACTAGAGACATGAGGTTCAACAGTTTGATTCAACATTTTATTCAGACAAACAAATGGGTGAAATAAATAGAGGGGGATGATTCTTGTCATATTAACAACTGTTATCATCTTCATCACTGTCATTTGAACACACAATAAATTTACATCAGTCACTTCAGTTAAATATATACTTTAGAGTGAATAATTGACATACTGTATTACATAGCTTACATTAGTGTAGTTCTAATTTCAGTAAAGTTAATTTAAAGTTAATTTGTAGGTGGAGTCTTTAAGAAAAAAGCTTTAGCAAAATAACTGTATTCCTCCCCATGGCACGTCTACTGACACTCATGAGAATCATGCCGCTTTCCTGCACAAATCATCTTCAGTGTTATCAGCCAGGTCAAGTAGGAAATAAAAAGTCTTACAAATCAAAACCAGCTGTTAAGAGTAAAAGCACAATCACAAATATAAAAATAAGAAATCATTTTAAAGTAAGTTGCATATTGACATTGTAAAAATCATACAAAAACATTAACATTTTCCAGTGTTACATTGCTTGGACTTTGGTCTTCAAACGGAAAGCAGTGAGCTAAAGACTGTGATGGTGTCTGTCCATCATTTCTCTGACATAGTGGTCTCTTCCTATGGTATTCAACACCTCAATATCAAATGACTGCAGTTGAAATGTTCTGACTCAAGTGTTCACCTAATCTGTTTGCCTCTGACTCTGAACATCTTGCAGCTACTAAAAGTATGATAACAATGCATATTATAATAAAAATGTATAGCTCAAAATGTCGTTTAGTGTTGATATTGTACCTGATGACATTTAATTTTTTCACTGATTGTTTACTTTATGTTAATGCTGATTTATAAAGTGAGCATCATTTAACATTTCCATACATTCTGGGCAGTTGTATTATATGAAGAGTTTCTAATGTATTTGACTGTATCGCAGCTTATACTTTGAACAGGTCTTGTTTTTTCATCATAATAATGACATCTGGAGCAAAAAGTGGTGACAGTATATTTACACAGATTTACTTCATCTTAAAAGGTACAGGAAATTCAAAATCCTGAATTTGTAACTTAAAAGGCAGTAGTGGTATTGGTGGTCTTGCCATCAGCTCCCATGTTGTTTCTTAACTCAAATTTTATCATTTAAATTTCCTGGTTCAGACATTCCATTTCAAAAGAGGCTTTGACACGGAAGAAAAAGGTCCAGATATTAAACACTGCACTGTCCAGGCCACCAGCTTTGATGCATGATCAACAGCTAATAGTCTAATTAGGTGATTTTTCAAATTTTGTGAAGTGTTGAACAGTGCAAGGACTTTCAGAGGTGATACTTGCACATTTGGCTGCTGATTTCTCAACATAAAAATTCCAAAACACTTCAAAACTCTTATCCAAGAGATAAAGAAAAGGGATATTTGGGAGGAATACAAAACATACTGCTTGTAAACAAGATTCTGCATAGTTTTTCCAAATTAACTATGAACTGGCAGCGATGCTGCATTTGTTACTTGCGTAAATCTAACTGCAGCTTTGGGTGGATGTACAACATTAAACAGTTGGTTGGCCTAGTAAACTTTCTCTCTCTCTCTGCCTCAAATTGACACAGTGAAATAGAGAGCTTGTCTTGTCATTCATAAGGTTGCTGAAAGTTTTGGCGTATTCATAAGCCTGTCTCAGTTACATGTTCAGCACAAACCACCTTTTCATTTCTTCGGGCTTGTTTGGCTCAAACATGCGGTCCACCTTTAAATATTGCTTTGAACGTGACATTTGAAATGAATGTTGAGCTGAAGCTGAAAGCTGAAACTCCCTGATGGTTGATTCCTGAGAAAATTTCCCTCCAGCTTCATTTTGATTTGATAAGCTCACATACTATCATCTACAGTTCAATCAATTCATTCACATTACACAGAACTTTCATCTCATCCTGTCACTTATAAGTGCTGGTAAAATTTAGGTTTAGTTCAAAATGTATTTGATATAACAAATAAAACAACTTTATAGTTGATTAGAGTCTGTTTATCAATATCATCTATCATAAATTGTAATTCTATAAGGCGTCTTTCATATTAATATGTTTGTTTAACATTTGAAATTGAGACAAAATTGCTGCGGAGTGTGGAAAAAACTGTCTATTTCAAGTTTCAATGAGGGATTTTATTCACATACTGATCTGATATCTCTCTGAAATATATAAACCACAACAGGCCAGTCAATAACATACTGTCCTGGCAATAGCGGAATTTTATACTTAATGCAAATAAGCACAAGGAATGAAAGATAAATACACAAGTAAATGAGAAAAAGTGATTCTTTTGTCAATGCTCCACAGGCTGTTAGAAAAAGTAAAGGAGCATGACAGGAAGTGATGTCATCATGCCTACCAGCTAATATGGCTTCACAGCTTTACAGTCTGATGGATGGCTTTGCTGATGGCCAGCAGGCATTTTCTCTTGGTCCAGAGTTTGGTACACAGGTAACTGTGAAAGTCAAAGCAAGTGGAAATGGTGAGGTTAAGTTGAAGCATGATGAAGTGTTGGCAGCTTCTGTCCATTAAACAACATCTCAAAGGTCATTTGGACCTTTGTGTCCATGATGTTTAGACACATATCGATCTCAGAGGTTAGTCTCATCCCAGGTTGGGTCGTTCATGTTCTTCAGAACTCTCCTGATGATCCTCTCCAGCTCTTTCCTCGCTCGCTGCTCCTCCTCCAGCGTCCTCTTCATCCTCTTATTGTCCTGGAGGAAGACAGGAAGTGATACAATATAAGATGAGTGATATAAGATTATTCTTTGTTTGGACTATTTAGCTTGATTGGTGATAGAAAATGTGGCCAAATGAAGACAGGAGGATCCAATAGGGAAACTCAGAACTTCAAAATGTCTTTACCACTCAATCCATGTAAAATTCAGTCCAAACACACAACAATGACCGCTTAACACCAACACCTGTCACCAGTTTAACCATTTAACAATCCAGGTATAATCTAAAATAATCCTTTGCTCGGCCATCCAAATGCTCATGTGAAGGGATTCATAGTTTGGCAACTCTGGTAGAGGCGGAGAGGTTGGTCTTAATCCTTTTGAATTCCACAAATTTTAAGGTGTGTGGTTAAACAGCTACATACATCTGACTTTGGAATCAGTTGCCATTCAGAACTGAGGTACAGGGGTTCTTGGACCTCAGTTTGAACTAATGACAAGTTCAGGTTAGTTATAAATTAAACTGCAGACTCACCTGTTTGAGCTCCTGGACCTCGTCCTTGAGACTGTACACAGTGTCCACCAGACTCCTGCAGCAACAGAACAGCTCTGCTTTACTGTGGAAAGCCTGATACAGGAAAACTTGACATCTGATAGACCACTTTCTTTTCTTACTGTTTTTTCATAAAACAGTTTGATATGTTCCACTTGATCACTTGGAAACCCCTGAATACATGCTGCCCCTGGTCTAGTGTGTTCATATGTTATGATGTTGTGCTCTTCTATTTTCAGCAACTCCTTGTTCCCACAGCAACCGCTTTCAGAGCCTGAATTATCTGCGTTTGCAGCGTCATCTCTCACCTCTCCTCCACCACAGTCTGTCCATTGCTCCTGGTTTCCTCCACGATAATCTTCTCCTCTTCTGGGAACAACATGTGAACATCTTTCCTGCTGGAGCCTGATAGAGCAAAGACAACAGTCCAAGTTATCAACTGTGCATCACACACAGAATGACAAATGGACAAACACAAACATGGGTACATGTACACAAACATATGTCATTCCAAGTGTTGAACATGGAATTACAGAGGGGCTTGAATATTGATGGGGTGGCTTACAAAGTACAAACAAGCAACCACCAGATGATGTCACAATTTGTTCACGTAAAACAAACAATGTCAGTTAATAAAATAATCTGTAAATTAGTCGATAATGAACATAATTGTTAGTTGTAGCCCTAAATGAGTGTGTCAGAGGAACACCCAGTGTGGAAGCTGCTGAGTAAATGAGTAAGTACTTTGACTCCTGTAATTTGTTTGCATACAGTGAAGTACACACCCACCTTTAAACATACTATACAGTAAAATGTTGTATATGCTTGTTGAAGCTACACTGATGGAAATCTACACAGGCTCATACACAAACACAGCTCCTATACATGCACGTACGAAGAAACACACACACATACACACAGCAGGTGAAAGGTCTGGGTCGATATATATATATATATATATATATATATATATATATACACACACACATCTGTCTCTAGTTGTAAGCCAGCTGGTTCACCAGTGTGTCTGTGGTTTGCGACACCGATATCTTACGAGAAAACGAGGCAGTCCTGTAACTATGGGCGGTCCAGATACTGTCATAATCCGAGTCCTCTGACTGGTCAGAACATGGCAGGTTGCCAGGGACACTAGCGATGGTGAGGCTGGTGTCAGCAAGCACATGGTTGTGCATGAGGTCAGTCCCTTGCCAGGCTGTGTCATAAAGTAACCAGCAGTGGATGGGGTGTGGAACAAACCAAATTGAATGTCGGGGAGATGATGGGAGGAGGACAAACCATTTTGGATAAAGGGTTTAGGGTTTGGAACAAAAACCATATTGTAGGTGTGGGGAAAATATTTTAAAACATAAATGTGAACCATAAACCAGACCAACCAGAAATAAAAGGAAATAGTTTGTGTGGGATAAAACATGTTGGATTTAAGGAAACAAGACAAGGAAAAAATAGGGATAAAACCAAACAAGCAGTTAATGAAAACAATTGGAGGATGGAGAAAGCAGAGGAATGAAGGAAAGACATAAAAAGAGAGGAAAGAGAAAAATATTGTTAGAGCTGAAAGCAGAGAACAAACAGTGTTAGATATAACACACATCTAGCAATGTGCGAGCATATGTGTCCATGATACTGTGTTCATGCTGTGTTTACATATGAATGTACTGATCTGTGTGTGCACACTCACTGGAGTTGAGAGTCTGTCGTGTCTTGGCGCTGGTACAGTAGGCCTCAATCACTTTCAGTATCTGAGCGTCCTCCTCCAGAGCTGCTGTACCTGAGACACCAGGGCAGAACAGAGGGAGTTCAAGTCTCTAAATACTGCGAACAGGACCTTCAACTACACACTGGCAGCCATATTGGAAACAAAAAGTTATTTCCAACAGTGCAGCCTGTGTTTCTACTGTGGATATAAATCATCCATTTATTTTGTAATTATTCTACATCTTTTTAATTGTTAAATTTGATGAAAATGTATCAAATCAGACAGATTTTTTGGTCCATGACAAGAATCACGATTAATAAACAAATGAAACACAGAGTATCTGTGGCTGGCTTATTTTTGCTAATGAACTGGCCCAGTGTTTGCTATTCAATTGCACCTGAAACTGCAGCAATGGTCGCTGCTTTTGGTTCAGAATAGCATTGGCATATTATTTTTTATTTAACATTCTGACATTCATCCCTTTTAGATAAACTTTAAAGTAATGAAAACGCATGTAGAAGCAACAAAGATACATGTGCAGCATGTTGCATTTATTTAAAATGATCATCATTATATATTATCATTATTAAACACTGACAAAGAAATCTTAAGGCAAATTTTTCCTTCACTATTCTTTCTTTATTTCAGTTGCTCAGTTGTGTACTTACTCTTTCTGGCAGTGAAGTCTTCCTCTGAAGGTTTCCTCTCTGGCTTCCTCTTAGGGAGCAGCTTCTTCATGTTCTTAGGACTTTTACTCATATCCTACAAAAAAAAGTGATTGAAATGTTTACAGTAAGAATGTTATTCTAATCCCAGTTTAACAGGACTCGGGAAACATATAAAGCTTTGATCGCCATAATTTCATAGTGTAATTTCAAGTGAAGGAAAGTGAAATGACTCCTGTTTTGAGAAACATATTGTATATCATAAAGCAGAAGTATAAACTTGACTCATTTTTGTATGTCATTGAACAGCACCTCCTTGTAGCAGAGAGCCGCGGAGGGCCGGAGTGGAGGCGCAGGGCGAAGGCAGCTCAGGCTCCAGGGTTTGGGGGTACTCGGTGGCTCCAGGGGCCCCCACATTGGGCTGCTATTGTGTGTCATCCCATATGAGGAGGGATGGGGAAGGGTGTGGTAGGTGTGTCCGCTGCTGACTCCACGTGACTCGGAGTGTCTGGCAGGAGTGACTGGGTGAGAGGGTAGCTGGGCAGAGGAGAGGAGAGGAGAGGTTAAAGAGAGGAGCAGGTGGTAAACTGGCTAATTGATTTATTCTTCACAAAACATGGAGACTCACTGTGTGACAGACGGACTGATGCTTGTGTGAGTGTGTGTGTGCGGGCGGAGTGTGCGTGTGTTTGGTGAGAAGGTCTAGCCAGTCCTGTAGCTCATGCTGACTGTTACACGCCACCTGCATCCGCTCACACTGGCCACCTGCACGGCAACACATACACACACACATACGCACAAATGTCATATGTTTATGTGGCAGGCATAGGTCACACAGATAAACACTACAACACTACTTAGAGTGAGCTAGTGGCTTCCTACATTTCCCATAATTCCTCTGAACAACACACAGACAAAGGTCATACATTTCTAGTGGTCTAGCTTGAAATTAGTTAGTGGGGAGCTTCTCTGACTGTGGAAACACCACTGAACACAACAACATGATATTGAAATTAGTATTTGTGACTGTTTGATTATTTCTCTCTGTATGATTGCTGAGTGATACTGCTGATGTGATGTGATGTGATGTTGTCTTTTTATAGGGTTTTATAAGGTTATAGGTGTTTGTCTTACTTTAGTAATTGCTTTTTTGGTTGCTTTTTTGTTTTAGATTTTGTATAATTTCCCAGGATTCCTAGGAATATTTTTCATAGAATTACATTTATTCAGATTTTCTGATGTTATTTTTTTCATATTTCTTTATATTATGTGATAATAATTATTCTTCTTAAAATATACTATCCATTGGTGCACACATGCTAAAAATTCCAGGATCCCACAGGTATTTTTCCCAGGAAACGGGAACACATTTTGGCAAGAATCAACAGATTCTCAATTCCTCTTATTCAACTGATATGTTAAGACGCTAAAATCATGTGGGATTTTTTTTATTTTTTTTTTTATATAAAGGAGTTCAGCTGAAATCAGAAAGGTCTACTAGTTAAATGAGAGAGAGGGCTGACCGGATATTTCAAAAGCATTCCTCAGGTTTTCTCCGTCCTCTATTCTGGAGATGAGCATTCCTGATAATGGCATCCTCCCCTACAGAGACACACGGAGAAATAGACAGGGTTAGTTGAAGAACATACAGAGAGCATCATTGAAGTTTCATCTCATTTAAAACGTACCTGATAGATGAATCCACTCATTCTCAAGCTGGCAGACAGCATGAGCAGTGTATGAGGGAAAAGGACGAGGTAGCGTTCATTTGACTCCTGAAAGACAAAGTAACTAGTTAACCAAAACTCTTCTAGTCTAAATGGCAGGTCAGATCAATCAACCACTTAAAATATGGGTGGGTTCTCTTACAAACAACTGAGATATGACTAATTTGAGAAACAGGGCTTTAATTTCATACAGATATTGATGGTCTCATTGTTTATGCTGATAGGTACCTGACAGTTCTGTGTGTGGACTGTGGCCTGGGACATGTGCAGTACAGGGCCGAGGGTTCTGATGTCATCCCCCTCCCAGTTTCTGATTGGCTCTGTTAAAATCTGCAACTCCAGGTCCTTCTTCTTCCTCACCTCCTGACACTGGGCCTGAAGACACACAGAGGCACACAAAGGCACATGTCTTCACAAACTCTCTGTGAGATGATGAATGTTGATAATCGATGATCAATGTAAGCGTGTCTTACTGCAAGGGTTTTGAAGGCTGTCATGGAAGCGTGGAGATCAGCTCTGTCAGGGTGTTGGTCCTAAGACAAAGACAAAAAAATAAATAAATAAAAGATGGAAACACATTGAATAGATTTTTTTGCATGCATGGCGATTCAGATCAATTTCTTGCTCAGAAAAAAATGTAGTTCGCTTCACTCCGAACATTGTTATGTTACTTATGATATTTAATGTCGTCTGTATCTGTGCAGGTCAAAAACAGAGAAGCAAACAGATTAAGCCTTACCTCCATGTGTCTGTCCAGTTCTTTTAGCAGTGTTGGGTATCTCTCCAGTCTGGTGAAGGGTTTACTCAGACTAGTGGTCAGAGTCAGGATCCCTGGAGTGGATGCCCCCTTTGACTCCATGTACTCCCCCAGCTCATCACTGTGACACACACACACACACACACACACACAAACACTGAATATATTCACATTGTTTTGGGACAAACACACACATTTTTCTTTTCTCTGTTGAGCAGAAACCTTTGTCTTCTTGTTTGCATACATACACACACTGTGTCTCTGACGGTACCTGTGTTGTGTGAGTACATTGACAGCAGACGGGTGGTTGGAGCAGTAGGCCACATAGATGATTTTTATTTGGGGCATGAGACTCAGGAAGAACCCCCCGATCCTCTGCTGGTTCTCTGGGAGTCTGCACAGAAATGAGGTGACAATGTTAGACTTGCTACTGCCAGTGCTGGCATTTAATCACACGGTCAGGTAAAGATTAAATAGATGATAATTATGGGGCATCAGCTGGTGCTCAGGGATTCAGGATCTGTATAATGAATGTAATACTGAGGAAAAATCTAGCTGGTAAACAACATTTACATAAAGGCATTAAGACCATCTTAATTTAGGGACTAATATATAATAATCAATACCAAACAATCAATATTTGGACTGTTTCTGTGTTTATTAATCACCTTTTATGACAAAAAGTCTGACAAACATGAACTCAAATATGAACTGAATGTGGCAGACACCTGCTGCCTTTTGATGCACTGCACTGGCAAATAGACTGTGTTACCTCAGTCTACCACTAGATGTCTCTGTTGTTACACTGACTGCCTTCATCACCCTTCACTGAGGCCAACTGCTGGACCGAGCATCAGTCTGCTTTGTTAGTTAAACAGGATGTTAGCAAAAACAGTTCATCAGGGATTTGTGCATCCTAGTTAAAGACTCTTTAAGACTTTTTATTGCTACCTGGGGATGAAATTAAAACCAATCAAAAAGAACTTAATAAAGAAGTTAGAATTGAAAGGCTAGACGGTGTTCTGAAACAAGAGCTGGAACCAGATACAGAACCTATACAGAGGTACAGAGTACTTGGAGTGTCGCAGTCTACTAGTGCAAGAAACCTGTTGTTACCGTTTCATGGTGAAAACACTACTGCATCAATACAGTAACTGCATCTGACAGCTTCCCATATGAGATGACAACAATGCATTACAGAAAACCCTTATTTCAGCTAGGTATAGTTAGTACATCTGTAGCAGACAAAAAACAAGGATATACTGACTTAGTGTGCTCCTCTAAGGACTGAACCAAAATCTGTTGGAAGGTTGAGATCTCCTCCAGATTTCCTTGAATGTGACCGATGTCCACAACGCTGAGTCTACAAAACAGAGGAGAGGGCCATCATTCATAATTACAATGTGCTCTCTGGGTAATCCTGATTGATCAGTACACAGGTATGAGTGTGATAATTGGACAAGTTATATTGGTATTGCTGTAGATATTCTAGTGTATGTAGCACTAACTCTAGAACCCAACTTTGTTGAATAACACAACAAAAAGTAAAGTAAAAATAACTCTACCTGTCTGTGGGGTGAAGTGAGCGCAGGTATGAGCCCAGGAGACTCTGTAGCTCCCTTGAATATTCGCTCTCTGCTTCCAGGATGTTCTGTAGGACCTGACCGAGACATGACCCACAAAAACACACACACATTTCACTTTTACAGATATAATGAAGGGGTATTAGAAAAAGATATGAGAGAGACATTTAAAAATGGCAATACTATATGCTTTTGCCTGTAAAAATCCCAATTCCCATAACAAATACTGCATCAGTCAGTAACACGTTATATTATAAGTCCCATATTTTCCTATACTTCCCTTGGTAGGAAGTGATTTTAACTGTAAATTCATAGGACAGATCCTAAAAGGAATGATGTGTTTGGTACTAATTACAGGGACGACAGAGACTATTACTTTTAAGCAAAAATGGCAGAAGATTGTCCGATTAAAGCTTCTTCTATGTGAGGATTTGCTGTTTTTCTCTGTTTAATGCCACTGCAAACTGAATATCTTTGGATTTTGGCCTGTTGGTCCGACACAGAAATGACATTAGGTTGGTTATCAGTATTAGCCTGATTTAAAGTCATTAATTGACCATTTAGATGTCAGCCATTTATGTGACAGCAACCTGTTTTCTGTTGATGTCACTATGAAGACATTTTTTGCGGGTAGGACACAAACACAACATCCAGGCAGGTCAAAATATGATTCTATGAGCAGGTTGTTTTATAAAGTGGGAGAGCATTTTGTAAAGAACTAATGGAGAGAGATATCAGACCCTGTGGGAGCTGCAACACTGGCTTGAGTAGCTTTCAACGGGTCTGACTCCACAAGCTAATTGGCTAATCACTCCATATCCAGAATCAGAAACCTCTTAGGAATGAGGTTTCTGCTAATGAATTGTAGCATTTTAGTCACACATGTTGCTGTGTCCTCCTTCGGGTCAGGAGACAATAAAAATTTCACTGCAACTGAAGCAATAAAACAAGGTAAAAAAAAAACTGAATGTAAAAATCAATTTGTGAAAAGATGCAGACAGGATGGCAACAAGAACACTGTGAAAATGCTGGTATTTTTTAAACTTTTTTGAAACAAAAGCATGAGACCACAAACACACACACACACACACACACACACACACACACACAAAGAAAAAAACCTTAAAGCCTATGTCCTAATACAAACATCTGTTCTAAAGCTTTGAGAGGCTCTTTTAGATGACACACAAAAACCTTCTTTTTCTTTTGCATTTCTGTCTGGGAACAACTTTGACTTCAGGCAGGGTCTGTGTGTGTTTGTTTGTGTGTGTATGAGAGAGACTCAGGTACCTCAACCAAAGATAGACTGTCAAGAGAGTCTGCACAGCTTGTTGCATTATTAAAACACATACACAACACTCTTACATACACACACAGCAGCGGGAGCTAACCCTGGGGCAAGGCTGCCCCAGAAACCACTGAAATGGAAGAAATAACCTACATTACATCTGCTGCACTCTCACACACACACATACACACACACACACACACACACACACACACACACACACACACACACACACACACACACACACACACACACACACACACACACAAACACACAGATGACACATGCAGGGGTGCCATGCAGGCTCCACAAATCACCACATGCTTATGAGCACGCAGACACAGCTACACAATCATTAAGTGGATGAAAAATTATTGATTTTAACAGTCCACAAGAGCAGACACACATGTGACAAACATCCATTTACTCAGTTCACTCCTGCAGTCTAACTGAGAGCTGAAACAGGAGAGACAGAGAGCAGACACAGAGGACATCATCTTGTTTCCTTTGCCACAAAAAGGCCAAAGTCTAAACTAAACCTCTGTTCTAACAATAGTGACATTTCCTTCCTCTTTCATTGTTTATTTGAATATTTAAGCATCATAAGCACAGTTTTAACACACACACACACACACACACACACACACACACACACACACACACACACACACACACACACACACATGCAGACACAAACAGGTTAGAATATGATGCTCACCACATTGTAGTAGGTCTTACTGATGATAGTGGTGTCAAAACCTTTGGGTGGACTTTTTAAAGTCCCAGACTTTGGCTTGTCTGATGTCTTATCTAAAAACAGAGAAAGAAGGACAGTTTAATGGTCTATACACAAAAACCAACTGCAAGTAAAAACTAGAACAAAACCAAGTCATTTCAATTAAATGCACACCTTTTCTATATAACTATAACTATTATACAATGTTCACAAAAACATTCAACAAAAGGACACAGAAAAAATGTCTCTTTTTGCATTTCCCAACTGCAGGGCAACGTTGCAGCCATTACAGTATGTAGGACAACCAATGACTGACTCGACAATGTCATGTCATTTTACTGTCCTGGTTACTGTCATACCCTTCAGTTCACTTTGGAGACATTACAGTGTAAAGCCAAAAGAGTAATGACTATTTTCTAGATACTCTGCAGCTGAATGCACATCTTAAAGCCATCTGACTGGCCGGAGAAAGTAAAGAGTTATGTGAATTTGAATCTGAGATAATTAGGATGCTATGAAAGATACGGATCTTAGTCCTGGAGGTTCAGCAAAAAGGTTCTTAAAACAGGAGTAACAGTAGTAACCAAGGACTGCTATATAAGATATAATTCTATATTTTGTGTACGGTGTCTTCTTCATAACACAAAGGCTCAGTCTCAATAACAATGATTCATGTCAATAAACCGAGATAACACGGATGTGGAGTCTCCAATTCATCGCTGTTTACTTAACAAATAATCACAGCCAGCATTAGTTTGCATCTCTCCAGTGCAAGCCTGTTATCTCACTCATCAAACGACTCCCCATGGCCATATGAATCTTCTGCCATTCCTCAGTACGTTGTTATCATGGTCCTTGTTTTTTTGCTGTAAGCTTCAAGTCAGGAAGTTTCTTTCTATACAGCAGCTCTGGAACTTCCTGCAATTGTGTGCATGTGGAGCTTCCTTCCTTTCCTGCATTCCCCTCCTCAGAAAGCAACACAACTAACCAATACAGTCAAACTGCCTGCAGAGGCATGGCTCTTACAAACACAGGGGGCAGCAGTTAACAGCCTCATGATCTCAGTGCTCAGAGTTCAGTACTGTATGGTGACCCAGCTTTTCACAATTTATGTAAACCCAAGAGAAAAACCCTGCAGATACTGACAGTTCAATAAATATGTTACTCAGGTCTTTATACCAAGTACAAACAGTCCTATTGTTTTACATTTCTGGTGAAAAAAAAATGCCTTGATCTTATCTCACTGTATCCTCACACTTGCTAAATTTCAGCCATTATAAAAAGAAATCAGTGGGATTACATCTCTGAATTTAGTGCTTAAAGTTTTCTTCATTTGCAAGATTAGGGAACAGGTCACTTCAATTAAAACAGGGTTACGCAAAGAAATTAGAAAGAAGAAAGAAGAAATTTCTGATCCAAACTAATGAACAAAGATAAAAGCTACACACAAATTTGAGCTCAGATGCAGTATGTTTCAAGGACAACTTGGCCAGTCTACTTCATTAAGAAATCATATTACAACTAAAAGAGGTCAGTAGGTTATTATCAGTAAGAGCAGGACTGCAGGAAGTCAGTTTGTTTCCGCGGATCTGTGTGTGTAGTTGGTCTGTGTCATTGCTTTGGGAAAATCTTCAAATTTCTATTAAACGGTTTGGGTCTAATGTTTGATGTACAATAGTATATGTTTTAAACCTCACCACAAGAAAGTAAATGTTTATTTTACTGCAGTTTAAATTAAAACTGAAATTAAAACTACTTACATGCAGTATATTTATCCAAACCATCAACTTTGACCAAAGCTATGATAAGAAACCAGCTCATTGTCTCCCCACTGCTCTGATAAATGACTGGGGAAATGAATGATGCACACCATCTGAAGCAATGAGACCTTCACCCACCGCTTCCTTTCAGCTCCCGTACATAGTTGCTGGGGAACCACCCAGCCTTGCCGTTGAACGAGCCTTCCCACCAGCCCCCCTCCTCCTGCCTGCTCACACTGATGATGTCACCCTTGGAAAAAGAGAGTTCGTCCTCATTGGTCTGCTCGAAGGCAAAGCGCGCCTTGACCAGCAAATGGCCACACCCACTGCCCTCCGACATGTCCTGGGAGCGAGGAGAATAAGAAACACAAGAGCAGGACTTCAGAGGTAGAGTAATAACAGTTAACCCCTCTCAGTGTTTGTTTACTGTCATTACATGTGACTTCTGTTACTATCGTTGTCATGGTAACTCACCAGGCTGCGGTACTGAGGCTGCAGCAGTTTAGAGGAGCGACTCTGAGTGTTCAGAGAATCAAATGACTTGATCCTCAGTGTTGCGGAGTGCGGCACACACACACTGTCTCCAGAAACACCTAAATCTGCAAGTACACAATCCTTCAATCAGTGGTCTTGTTAAAACTCATTAGAAATCCTTGTAAAGATATACTAATAAATTAATACTAACAACACCCTAAAGAGCTTTTATCAAAATATAATCAGTCTACATATAATGTAAACGGTATATTATATTCATGCTCTCCATATGATACTTATAGTTACACTAAAGAAGTAGTTCCAATAATAGTATGAAAAGAAATATTCATTTCAAGAGCACGTATCCAAACAGGACAAAAAGGAATAAATTACAAGATAAAAACACTGCAAACATAACATAACACACACACACACACACACACACACTTGCCTTCAGTAGCTTTGCTGAGGGCAACCAAGGAGTTTAGCACCTTGGAGAAGTTCAGTCCCTGCAGGAGGTCATTGACCTCAAAAGCCTAAAGAAGAGAAAACCGAATAAAGAATATGAAATACATTTTAGACCAGTAATAAAGCATTAAGGGGCTTTGAGGCAGGAGAGACAACACGCGTTCATAATAAATTTATAGGGTGTGACATTAGCAAGGACACAAAGCTGTCTTCCTGACATTTCCATGCACATATCTCACACAGGCATGTGGTGGTAAACAGAAAGGAAGGGACCTATGGCCTCCAGTTGGTGATCAAAAAAAGGCTGTGTTTTCTAAAACACACTGGAACTGAATGTATCCAACAAGAAAAATCATACTTTTAAAAATTATGGCTTTGGCATTTACCATACCCTCTTCTTATTTAGCTACGTCAACCTAAAAATGAAGAAACACTGAGTTTAGTGGGGGTTTACATCTTTGCTCCAACTGCAGTCTGGAGCAGGATTACTCAAAGTCTGAGCTCCCCCTTGTAATCTGCCCCTCACACACACACACACACACACACACACACACACACACACACACACACACACACACACACACACACACACACACACACACACACACACACACTGCCATAATCAAAATACCTCTGAAGCCCCTAATCTTGTGTATACTACACACACTGACAGACTTCTACACTCCCAAGGCGTGAAGGTGGAGCAATCTGGGGCGTGAAAATCAAAGCTGAAATACTCTGACATGGTACTTTAACACTTTAACATTTTAATTTACAGTAAAACTATCTCATGATGAAAATGGCAAGAAGTGTCCTAATTCTACATTTCCTCACGTTAAGTTCTATTTAATTTAAAGACAAAACAACAATGTTATTTAATGAAGTCTTCCTCTCAAAAATCCACTCGGTCTGATTTATATACACAGGCTGATTCGTAGTCCAAGCAGTATGGACCCAACAGTTAATACACACTTTCACCTCTCCAACTGGCATTTGGCCAAGGTACAGTATGAGGCTTTCTATCCACTCCTGCAGTAGAAATACGTCAGTGTTACTGTTGCATTTGCACACATTTTAGGCATTTACTGTAACTAGTGCTCCCTACTGGTTCTAGGGTTCATTGACAGATCAATATATTTGATTAATACTTAAACACTAAGAACAACATGTAGGATGTCTATCATGAACATTATTTGTTCATCTTTATAAATAAATTAGTTTTACTGCACTTGCACATTTTATGTTTTCGCATTGTGCAACATAAATCTATGATTAAACCCTTTAAATTGGTATTAATATAGCATGTAACCAAATTAAAAATCTTCATCACCACATATTAAATGCAGTTAGTTTCATTTTGCAGGTTGCACCCGTAGTGAAAATACTCTTGCCTATAGCTGTGGGACGCAGAGACTACATACACACAGCATGCTTAAAACAAACGCCTGTGATTGGTCAAACAGCTTACCTGATAATAGGGAGCACTTGATTTAATGCTGCAGAGAAGGCACACTAAATGCACGGAATCAATATCCCATCCGATTAGGCTTAATTAATAGCAGAAGCCAAATTTATGATCGCGACTGTTATCTGATTAATTGTGCAGCTCTGGTTAATCGTGGAGTCCAAATTCATCCACACTCACACTGGCACTCTGTAATCCTCCTCTATTGGACAGGCAGTCTGGCTCTTCCTCCGCTTGTCCAATGACTGTCTGGGAGAATTACTACGCTGATGTCAGTGAGACTGCTGGTAATGGAGGCCTTGGCTTCCAGCAACATGGCTGACATGCATCTAATCAACCTGATTGGAAAATCCACTGGCTGCCTGGCGTGTTGCATTACATCAGCCCATCCTTCTCTCCTTCTCCATTTCATCCTTTCATTCTCTTTCCATTTCTCCTTTACCATGGATTCAAGGTTTTTTATAAAGACCATTCTCCCTGTCAAGATCATTTTCCAAGTCTAGAGCAAAACCTTGTTATATATCTGCAGCCAAGGACTTCTGTGTTGCATAATCTTCTCTTTTCCATTATGATGCTGTGGCCATGGAAAAACATGGCTAAGATCAATAGTCTGAGTGTGTGTGTGTGTGTGTGTGTGTGTGTGTGTGTGTGTGTGTGTGTGGTGTAATTTTGTACCACACTAACCCTCTCCTCACTCCCACTGTGGGACAGGATATAACCTGGCTTAACCCAGTGTTGTGCAAACACACACACACCCTAATATGTGCTTTTGAACTCTGATAACAATACTGATCATTTTAAACGCCAACAGCCTAATATTTTGTATCAATCTCAATATTTCCAACTTTATATTTGACAGTTTCTGCAGAAATATTTATGGCTTTCCACCGAGATTTCATCACAGAGTAGAAACGCTTCTGCAAGACCATTGAGAACGTCATGAAACTCTCCTTTGCCTATAATCGTCATCATCACCAATAACAACAACATGCATGCACATGTTACCCAATATGTTGATCTATTCCAAAACCATGTATCCACATTTATTTCTGCCTCTTGTTTCCATAACTACAAAGGAACGATAACTCATCCTCAAGCAGCAATAATACATTAAACACTATAGCTTTAAAAACATCTTTTGGAAACAGCAACTAAGAAGTGCAGATTGCAAGTGTCACTGTCCGTATGACTGTTATCAGTGTGCCTGCCTTTACCCTCCTATTTACTCCTTTAATAACACAGTGATTTCATGCTCATACAGCCTTCATGTTACGATGCACCCCCGTTTCATTATTACAGAAAGTAGCACCACTTTCTCTTAAAACATTATCTATGTATGGGTTTAACTAATGGCTTTATTACAGTAATAGATAACAAATCATTTACTGAAAATAACTTTTGGGTTGCCAGGTTCTGAAACATCACTGGACCATTTACCTGGACCACAGGTAACTTATTAAAGTTTACAGATGCAGACTTGAATGATTAATAGTCTTCTATAAATACACTTACTAATATTTATAGTGATTATAATGGATTTCTGACATTTATGACGGCAAATAGAGCCATTAGTTATAACATTAATATCCCTGCATACAGGATGATTTATTGAAAAGTAGCACCACAAAAACCCACCATTAGTGTGTATCTAGAGTTAATCATTTAACACCCATTGGGGGTATCACTGTGTTTAGATGCTGGAGTCATTACGAAACATACGTTTAACTGATCAAAACAACTAAATTCAGACACGTTATTAGTACTTTTATAATTCAATACAAAGGAATATCCGTAAAGAATTTCCTTTACCACAGCCGTATTTAAAGGTAACCTTTCCAGGCTGGTCCACAGCACAGTAGCTGTAACTGTCTCAACAGGAGTAACAGTTAAACAATATAAACAGGATAAAGACGTCACTGATAAACAGTAGGATACACAAGTTGTAAAAGATGGTTTAAACGATAAATAGGTTACTGGACGTCTGGGGTAATGTGCTTCCTGGCCTAAATGCTGTGGAAGTGCATTAATAAATACATTTTTAATCTGGTAACTCACCTCCACACCGAAAGCCCCGCAGCCTTTAACAAACTCAGCAATGTTCCTCTGATACTCGCTGTCGCTCCTCGGTTCCTGGAAAAACTACAAAACAAAAAGTCGCAAAATTAGCTTCAAACACTGACTTGAAATATTAATAAACGGTCAACGAAGGTGTTTAAAGGTTTTCCGCATGGAAACAATCTTATTCCAGGCGTTGCTGGTGCACTTGTCACTTGCTGCTTATCAGTGTCAAATTAGCTTGAGTAAGGAGTCACACTTCCGGTTTTGACTTTCAAACTAAAACATTAATTGAGAGAGGTTTTCCTACATTTCGGGTTTAAAATATTCCTTTAGGTAAAAAATTACATGTACTATTCTTTTTTTGCAGCTAGCAGATACCTAGTAGTTGTAGGTTAGTCTATCTTTATTTTTTAAGTTAATTCTAAGGGATCATTTCAGTTTTAAGTCTTGTCTTAGCTTTGTTATAATATCTGGATAAACCACATAAAGAAAATAAAACTACATATTATTTAAAGAAGAAAAGAAGTCTGATGCCTCCACAAAAGCGTGGGCTATGATCTGTACTAGCTGTGGCAAAGCTATTTCTAGAGTTTGTAAAATAAATAAAATAAGAGGTGAGACATGGCTGCTGGAGGGTTTTACGCCTTTACTTTGAAAGACACATTGCCTCACTCTGTGTTGAGTTGCAGCTACCTGAGGCTAACCTGACACAGATCTACAATCTTCCTGGGAAGTTGGATAAGCCAAAGGAGGATATGACGTTAACAGGTTCATAGTCCATTGTGTGTGTGTGTGTATGTGTGTGTGTGTGTGTGTGTATGTAAGATGCAAATTTTACATTCAAATAACTGACATATAAAAAAGCCTACTAGAGACTCAGCATTAACTATGAGTAGGTTTACACAATAAAGTAGTAGATAATTTGCACTGTAGTACTAGTAAAACACACACTGTTGAATTGTTGAATTAGTCTACATTCACTATAAGTAGTTGTATTATAATATTTCTAGTATATATATATAGTTATGGACAGAAAAAAAGGAAAAATCAAAGGGCACTATAGGATAACTTGTACAAGAAAAACAAAAAAGCTACAGCATCCTGTTTCAATGAATAATTGCTGTTGTAAGTATAGTACTCCCAGTATTGTGTCTAAAAAGAACGTATCCCTTTTGACTTTAGAAAAAAACACTTTATTGACAAAGTGAAAAACAAATCTCTGAATATTTTCTTATGAATAATGTATGTTAACTGTGTTAAGGCAGTTTAAGGCAGTTTTTTCTATTTTGTACTAGTCCTCTAGCCTATTGATGTAGTCTATTTTGCTTTTGTGTTGTTTTTCGTGTTTTATATAGCCCATTGTATATATTTTAATCTTAGGTTGTATTGTTTTTCTTCCATAGTGCTCGAGCCTTCCATCCACTTACTTTGTCCACCGTCCCGGGTCTGAGTCGCTCCAGCAGCCTGCACAGCACCGCGCCATCCTGCAGGGACGCCTGGAGGAAAGCCTCTGGGTCCGAGATGCTTTTCTTGGGAGACTCCAGGACTCCCAGCGTTATGAGCCACGTTACCGTCTGTTCGGCGGAATTCATGCCTGAATTTCTAATGTTATAAAACAACAGCAGTAGCAGCAGCAGCAGCAGCAGCACTCTGGAGTGTCTGCGTTATCCTACTTGTGGTGCGTCCTAAATGAGACAGGAGGGTCAGCCCCGCCTTGTTTGACCATTACAATCAACGCACTCTGGTTGGATCGTCCAGCTGTTATTCCAAAATAGAAAAAATAGAGGTGGAAATGAGAAATAAACGGGGTTCCTTCCTTTAACTGCTTCGTATTGTCCCTCACTGCTCCCTCTCTCTCTCTCTCTCTCTCTCTCTCTCTCTCTCTCTCTCAGAGCGGATGTCTGCATCACCTTTGCTTGTGCACAAAGTAGCAGCAGCGCCAGTGTCAATTTAGATATTGTAGAATACGACTCCCTCTGTCAACTTTCAAATTAAAGACATATGCTTGACGATCGTATGTCAAGCTTTTAGTTCACAATAAAACAATATTCGAAATAAGATTAAGCTTCATTGACATCTGTAGTTATATGTCGTATTGAATGTACATTAATATTTAACAGCTGTTTAAATTGCCCGGCCTTTTCTTTTCTGTCTTGTAAAGCATTTTGAGCTGCATTTTGCATGATAAGTGAAATAAATGAAAGGTTTGTTTTACTATTGTCCATTTTATGTTTATGTACAGGATACAGGCTATTGTAAAAGTCTATTATTCAATTACAGTATGCAATTAAAGTGGGCTAAACACAGGGAACGTGGTGTGCAATTGTAAAAACCTACATATTATTGTACAATAAATCACATTCATTCATGTTACCATATACGTTTGGAACAATATCTTCAGTGATGTAAATGTAGGCCTATGTACACTATGTATGCTATGTATGTGAACAGTTTATTTAACAGTTATAAACGCGGTAGGCCTATCATTGTCACATTACAGCAGCTTTCTATTTATTTATTTTAACATTTTCAGTCATATCATAGTCAATATTAAGGGTATCAATAGCCAATACGCTATATTGTGCTCTCAAAAATTAATTCAAGGCACTGGTCAGTCTGTAAATAGCCTAATCCCTGCGTCAGTCATTTAGTAGTTTTACTTTGAAGGTAAAACCATAACTTCCGTTTTAACTCTCACTATCTTTGAAGAGTTTGACGTCTTTTGACGGCAGCACAATCACAGGACCATCCCATTGATGATAATTAATGGGAATTAAAACCGTACCGCGCTTTATATCTGATTGAGTCAGAGACTGAAATAGTTGCTGTAAAGTTGATGTAAATGAAATCTATTTCCCTATCTAGCATCTTCTTCTCCATTTTACAACACCATGTATATATGGATGCTGCATCCACACGGTATTTACACTGTTTACATTTAGTCTGTTTTTTTCAATGAACCATAACTCCTGTGTTAAGTTTATTTCTTCCTGCTATTGTTCATTAATTGACCGAAAGCCTTTTGTCAACAGTGTCAAACTGGTTTATTACGCCCTCTGGCGGACAGTTCAGTTTATAGGTTTTGCTGATGGCAGAATTTCCACTTTATGGTGGTTTGTTAATTTCATTTTCAACACCCATGTCTGTTCATTTAATCTGTACATTGGCCCAGATTTACATACAGACTTGTTTGCAAATCCGTTTAAGTTTGAAATCCAGTTAAGGAAACGGTAGAGAGTATTCAGACATTAGATTATAGCTTCTAGAACTTATTAAGACATATACAGTATATATATGGTTAACTGATTAAACAACAAAAAATAAAATAATAAAATAAATATTAATGATAATAAAGACTAATAATATGACCTGCAGGATGGTGCCCGTGGTGTCTGGGCTTTCCCTCATGAATACAGAATCCTTTGATGGCTTGAGACTGTCTCTGCACCATGTTTCTATTCTTCTTTAGTGCTGCTTTATTTATACACATCAAATTAGTAAAATGCTTAATAATGAACTGTGCCTGCTTCATGGAGGCAAACAGGGCTGGGTGGAGGGTGTGAAATGCACAACAGGATGTCACACTCAGCAATCATATGAAGTTTGGTGTCACTTTTATGTGTGAAGTCTTTCTTTAATGCAAGCAAGTAGTCCATGAATGTAATAATGGTATATGATAATTACAATTATTTCCACCCAGAATTCAATAATAACAAAAAGGCTGCTCATGACAGTGAATGTAACATCTAGGTCTCACTGTTCGACCCTATTAAAAAAAAAGTCAGCCTGCAATGATGCTGCATCTGTGCTGGTCCTGTCACTGTGACAAGACAAGAGTCAGTATACTCAATATAAATAATCTCAACTGCAGCAACTGTGACACCTGGTGTCCTTTTCACATATGTTTTGATTTGTTTGGCGGTTTGAACGCTTGAAGTCGGTGTGTGTGACAGGGCTATTAGATGGCTCAGTGAATAGTTTGATGAAAAGGATGTGGCGCTTCACAGTGATCACATCCCAATCCACTTGAAAACCAATCTAGACATCCAATATACACAGTATATCTGCATAATCCTGCAAACTGGTAGCATTATAGTGTCACTGGGAAAATTAGACAGCAAATAGTATCAAACTATTTTAGTATTTCGCGGGGGAGAAACACTGGCACTTTTTTTTGGCAGTTACTGTCACACATCAACATATGGGAACCAATTCTCACACGCACCCACTCATGCCAAATCATCTTAAGTTGCAAATGTGGCGGGTTGATATGAAGGCAGATGGCACAGCTCAAAAGCTCAGCAACACTCTCAAAGATGCTATCTTGTGTGTGCAGACATGCAATTAGGCAATATGAAAATGAAAGAGGACAAAAAGACAGATAGATAGATAGATACTTTATTTATAATAATAGTTAATAAAAAATATGCATGAGGTGAATAAAATATTTTGAATTCATGTGAACTCATGATGATTCATTAGATATTAATGTAAGTACTATAAATATCATGCATGAATTCATGATATTTCAGTATCCAGACCTTGTTTCTGGTGTTGTTAACTTTAAATTATGCTCACATGTTGCATATCCCTAGTAAAGCTGGATTTAATCAAACTGTCACAAACCAACACAAATGGTATTATTCCATCTCATAATAATATAGACATATATATGTCTATATGTCTATGAGCAGGACTGGATGGGTTAATGGGAACATGGAGGCAAGAGCATATAGCCTAAGCAAAATTTTTGCCCGTATAACAGGTTAATATATCTTTGATATGCACTTTCTGTGAAACTGTCGCAAAGCCGCACGTACAGCCGCACTGAGGAGTGACCCCTAACCTTTTACAGCAGACGGGCAGGAGTTCTCTATAGTTAATTATGGGCTTGAGCTCTCTCCTTTCTGTCCGCACATCGCCATGTTGAGGGGGGGGGGACCTGTGCAGGTAAGATCTGACTGTCAGAAACGTCATGTTATTAGAACACACCTGAGCGTTCCATGGTTGCCATGTTTGGTTTCCAGGTGCATCTTTTAGATCAGACCCTCATTTGAAAATAAACAGCCTTACAGCAGTCGGTAAAAAAAAAAAAGTCAGTTTTGCATTTTCACTCGACGATTTCTTTGACAAAGAGACATCGACTTGTGGATTTTTGCACCTGAACCTCGACTAAAGACCTACTTTCACTGACAAGAGGACTTTTTAAAAAACAGACGTGAGATTTTAACACATTTGAACCCATGTTGTTTTCAATGTATTTTGCTGTTGAGACTTGCAGAACCTTCAACGTTCACCAATGCAAATGCCAATATTGGCAATATTTTCACTTACTAGTGCAAATTAATCAATTGGGACTGACGTTTGACTGTGCTGACTGAAGTTTGAATAAGGAGAGCAAAAACTGCTTTCTTAGTTCGTTTCATAATCATCCATCCGCTTGAAATCACCTTAAACTCTAAAATAAACAAGTAAATATGATAAAATACAAATAAAACTAACATTTCCATATCGTTTAACCTCTTGGAGCTATATGTCATGAGTAGTACATGTAGTTACAACAGTATTTAAAACTCATTTCAATGACCTATGCTTATAGGTACTCATGGGGCTTTAGGGGCCCCTGGGCAATTGCCCACTTTGCCCAGTTGGTAATCAGGATTTGGCTGTAAGTGCATGAATTATTCAAGTAAAATGATATTTGCATAAATTCAGCAGTTTTGGGTAAAAGTTAAGATATTCATTGGGGCAATGATAAGGCTTTGACATTTAATCCAGGTGCTGTGTCTCCATCATTAAGAACTACAGCCTAATACTTCATATGCTTATTTATCATTAATAATACACAATAAATCTTTTTTATCAGTAGATTCTGACTGAATGTTCTCAGTTTACCGTTAACATGTAAGCCACATTATGCAACTATTTCACTGGTAAATAACAGCTTCAGAATCATTTTGATGATTCACTGACTTGTAACAGGAAGAATGGTGCCTCTTATGATTTTGTGTTTGTTGCCAGCGTCCTCTAATTACCACTTGTGGCTGATGACCATTATTTTTGAGTATTAATGCATTGTGGTAATTCTAATTCAATGATGTGATGTCTTTTCCATTAAGTTATTATGATAAAACAGTTTATGGTTTGTTAATGTGATGTGGAACAGAGGCCTAAACGTTGCATTTATTTCCACCTTCAGATGGCGCAACGCTACACCTGGACAACGGCCCTGGTTCCAAATCCCAGTGGGAAAACCATCCCACGGCTCATCCTCCGTCAGGGCCCAGGGCCATCCTCCCACAGTGGCTCCCCACCTGGCCCCACACCTGGTACCTTCACTTGCTCCTCTCGCTCTTCCTCTAGCTCCTCCTCTCACTCTTCCTCTTGCTCTTCCTCTCGCTCCTCCTCTCGCTCCTCCTCTAGCTTTTCCCCTAGCATCTGCCCTAGGTCCCCCCAGAGCTCTCCACTTAAGGACTGGGCTCTTGTGGCATCACAACATCCAACGAAGATTGTCCTGAGGAAGCAGGTGAGGAGGAGCTCCTTCAACCAACCCCTGACACCCAGTGAGCCGTTGGCGTTCCCCCCTGAAACCCCGGAGCCGTCCAGTGAGCCGAGGTGGGTAAAGAACCTGAGGCTTTTGATGGAGAGCAGGGGCCGCAAGAGAGCCGCTGAACCTGAAGGTAAGCCTGAAGGTAAGCCTCCAGGTAAGCGCTTCTGCCCCTCAACTTGAATTTGACTTCTTTATTTCTTTATTGATTGGAGTTCATTTGAACTGATTTTTTTTTAATTTGGTTTATTTTAATTTCTTTGAAGTCATTTGAATTGAATTT